TAGTGACATAAAGAATTATGAATAAGGAGATACACAGGGCCCCATAGCAAAATTTTGTATGCCCCCCCACCCTAAAAAAAATGCCACTTGAACAATACAATGCTACAGTCATGTGGCACAGTGCCTGAGCTACAGCATATATTATTATATATAATATGTTTAAATGCAGTTAGAAAACAACCCACTATCCTTGGACGCATCGATCATGCATTCAGGGATAATGATTGATTCCTAACTGCATGTAATCATATGACAAACATGCGGTGTGCAAGCGTTTATATGCAGTGGCTGTATCATTAAGAATGGGTGAGAGCTGCCGCATGTATATACACACACACACTGCTACAGCGGTAGTTCCTAACCTAAAACAAATATGAAAATCAGGACTTCTGACTTCACTTGATGCATGCATGTATGTTCTGGGTCAGTGACTGAACTTATTTCTTTCTGTACAGTTGCAATTAAGTAGTAGTTACACAGCAGCACTGTCTTCTAACAATCTACTACTTTTGTTTCAGGACGATGGAGCAACTTGTACAAGGTTCCTTACAATTGGATTGGTACAGGGCATGTTGTATACCAAGGAGCCTTTTATTACAACAGAGCTTTTACAAAAAATATTATTAAGTATGATCTGAAGCAGCGCTTTGTAGCGGCCTGGACACTCCTTCACGATGTGGTATATGAAGACACCACTCCATGGAAGTGGAGAGGTCATTCTGATATTGACTTTGCTGTTGATGAAAGTGGCCTCTGGGTCATTTACCCATCTGTGGACTATGATTATGCTCAACAAGAAGTCATTGTCATCAGCAAACTTGACCCCAATGATTTATCTACAAAGAAGGAGACAACATGGAAGACTGGCCTAAAACGGAATTCCTATGGAAACTGCTTTATTGTTTGTGGAATTTTGTATGCTGTGGATGTGTATAACCAAAAAGAAGGGCAAATTTCCTACGCTTATGATACCCACACAGATACTGAAGCAGATCCAAAGTTGGCTTTTATTAATGAATATGCTTTTACAACACAAATTGACTACAATCCTAAAGAGAAAGTACTATACGCTTGGGACAATGGACACCAGTTGACATACAAAGTGAACTTTGTCAACGGATTCAAATGATAGCTTGTTAAGACATAGATTAGGCCTATGCAAAGAATGCACTTTTACAAACCAATTAAAAAGTGTTGCTTGGGGAGCAACTAAAGTATTATTCTGGGTGTTGGAAGAGGTTTAGCCATGAAAAGTTTAATGGTATGTGACTAATTCCTTGTCATGAAGCTAAACAATACTTTGGATGTGTGAATGGACATGAATTATTCACAAAAGGATGAAGAGTTTGGAGAAGACAGAAGAAGTGAACACTCTAGGCCAAAATAGCTGATTTGGAAAAATTATCCAATTCATTTCACTTTCCACTTGTTGTCCTAGATTGTTCTCCTCTCCTGCCTTCTCCAAACTCTTCACCCTTTCGTGAATAAGTCTGTAAATGAATTCCCCAGGGTATAATAAAAAGTCAATTTAATTGTCAGCCTTTCGATATCATATATTTTTTAGTTTACCCTGATGAAAGCAGTTGAACAGTTGTAACACAAAACCCTTGGGATCAACTATGCATTGAAAGGACCACCAAAGTAAGCCCCCCTCTTATCTATTTTTTACCATGCTTTATTTTTTATTTTATTTTTGGGGGGGGGGGGGTTGTTTTGTCATGCAACATTATTTAAAGAAGAAGAAAACGAAATGTGCTTTGTGCATTTTTTTAAATCTAGGACCGGAGCAGTGGTTTAGGAGCATATTGCATGTGAGGTTTGCAACCTTCTGCCCCCCAGCTCTAGTGTGTGCGGTAAGGCCCCCAAATGGTCAGTCAGCCCATGACCAGAATCAATGCATGGCAAGCCTCAGACCAGCACCAATGTGCGGCAGACCGCAGACTAGAACCAAAGCATGGCAGACCTTAGACCACCCCCAATGCATGGCAGACCTCAGATCACCCCCAATGCATGGCAAACCTCAGACTGGAACCAATGCATGGCAGACCTCAGACCAGAACCAATGCCTGCCAGATCGCAAACCAGAGCCAATACACAGCAACCTCAAACCAGAACCAATGCACTTCAGAACTCAGACCAGAACCAATGTACTGCACACCCCATGCCAGAACCAATGCACTGCAGATCGCAGACCAGAAACAATGGATGGCAGACCTCAGAATCCTGATTCCTGTCAGCAAGGCTCCTGTACTGACTCAATGGAACTTTTCCAGCTCACACTGTTGCCCTGCCTGCTGATAAAAAGAAGCTAATTTAAAGGAGAACTATGAGGTGAGTGATTTACACTCCTCCCCATAGTTGGAGCTGATGTGTGACATTAAAACTGTCACACGTCAGCTCTATTGATCAGGCAGTGAACAAAAACAAACTGCCACTCACTTCTCAATCATCTCCCTGCAGAGAGCGGTGACTGTCAGTCACTGCTCTCCGCAGGGATTTCCCCCATCCCCTCTCCGATCCTCCAGTGCTGAGTGGAGGGACGGATGGGGGAGGGGACAGATGAGGGAGGGTGTGAGCATAGCTGGCTCTGCCTCTAGATAGGCAGAGCCCACTGTCAATCAGCCAGCATGGTGGATCTCGACAGTATTGTCGGGATCTGTCCCAACTGTGGCGCTCTCAGCATATAGCAAGCTATTGGGTCATGGGAGGACGTTAGTATATGTCCTCCTGTGACCCTAAAGAGAACTATGGCAAAAAAAAGTTACTCCATGGTTCTGTTTTAATTTAAAGCCATATTTAAGCACTTACGTTATCTAGGGCCAAAAAATGCATTAAAACATTTCAATAAGCAAGTACCAGGATTTGATTTTCTGAAATCTTTGCCTAGTACAGCCTTGGATCTGTTTTAAAAACAAGAGTTTTACTTTAACTTCTACAATATTGGTTAAGAGGGATGCAAAACAATATGGTCTAAGCCCGTGGTTCTCAACTAGTGGGTCATGACCCCATGTTCAGTGGGTTGCTGCATGCCTTCCAGTGCACTGGGTGAGAGGCTCCTCAGCCTCCCCCATAGCACAGCGCTGTCAGTTCTTGTGCTGAGCAGCCACTCAAAATATGCTACCTGGCGCCAAGTGTCAGCATGAGGTGGGCTGGGCTGGGAGTATGGCTGCAAGTGAGCTTCATCCATACATGCGTTGCTTACAGCTCCCTTGCGAGACCAGAGTGACATCACATCCTGGCTCCTGGCACCTCTACAGGGAATGCAAGGGAGCTGTACAAGCAATGTACATATGGATGGAGTTCTGTCACAGCACAGCAGCCCACACTGAACACCTAAAAAAAATTTGGGAGTGTGTGTGAATGTCTGTGAGTGTGTGAGATTGTGTCTGTGGTTGTGTGTGTCTGTCAGTGTTTTAAGCACAAACTACCATGCAATCGCACCTACTGTTCATTTTGATGCAGAAGGTGTGTTGCGTTACCATTCATTTGAAGTCTTCCAATTATTTTGACACCTGAGGCTTCCCCGAAAAAGTCCCATATTAGGGATCCTGCTCTGAGCTTCACACGTGTGTACATTAAGTTGCGTGTTTTTCTGAGCAGATTGTGAAACATTGATATAAATGGGAAAATGGGCATTAAACGCGTAAAAACGTGCAAAAGCGCACAAAACTGAAGTCTATGGGGCCAAGAAGTGCAGAATCAGCCAAAAAGAAGCTCATGTGCTTTTTTTCCAGCGATAGATGTGAACATGGCCATAGAAATGAATGGGGGTTTTTTTGGGGGGGGGGCGTTTTTTTTAAAGCATTTTTTATGGCAGAAAAAGCACTACAAAACGGTTACTGTGAATGAAGGCTAAAAGATCATTTCGCTTACGGGCTAGTTCACACCAGCCCCAGTGCATTCCAACCCGATTTGGTACCGGTGGTCGTGACGGCGCCCCCCCTCAGTCCTGCGCCCGGGGCAAGTGACCCCCCCGCACCCCCGGTTGTTACGCCACTGCCGGAATGCACTGGATTGTATCCCGGCCGGCTCACTGGATTTTGGGGGTGGGGCGGCGTGGCGGTGCATTGATGTCAATGGCACCACATTCATGTTCCCTGGCTGCAGTTCAATCGCCCGCACTGGAACACCTGGCTTATTAATGCTTGCATTCCAGTCCAGCATGATAAAAAAATTGTGCATGCAGCATTTTTTCTGATCGCACCGCAGCAGAACGCAGGCATTGATGTGCCACGCATTCTGGTGCTGGTGATTGCACTGCTGCCCCCTCACGCCCCAGAATGCAGTGAGCTGGCCGGGATGCGATCCACTGCGTTCCGGTACCGAATTGGGCTGGAACGCACTGAGACTGGTGTGAACTAGCCCTACTTCCTGTTGTGTCTGCAGGATGGAAAGTGAAGGGAAATCTCTCCAAGGAAATGCAAACAGCAACAAAAAAAAGAGGGATTTTTACTTTTTTTTTAAACATTAAAAAGAAGAGTTAAAAAGAAAACTGGCTAGAGGAACGTGTACAAAGAGTATCGATAAATGGCACCTTTTCAGATTGGGCTGAGGTCATGAGTGGTGTGCCCCAGGGTTCTGTGCTGGGCCCCATGCTTTTTAACCTGTTTATTAATGATATCGGGGAGGGAGTGAGTAGTCATGTCTCAGTGTTTGCTGATGATACGAAAATTGGGAGGGTAATAGACACGGATTTAGATAGTGTAACATTACAGGAGGACCTGGATAAACTCAGGGAATGGGCAACTGTATGGCAGATGAAGTTCAACATCGATAAATGCAAGGTAATGCACTTTGAAGTTAAAAATAGGCAAATGGACTATACACTTATGGGTGTGCCCAGGGGCGTAATTAGAAATCACAGGGCCCCATAGCAAAGTTTTGTATGCCCC